TTTTCATGTTATTATTTTTTCTCTGTGATTTTGTGAATTTCTTTTGTAGTTTCTGATTCTTGTGTGAGACTCGGGCCTTCAAGTTTAGGTCTGCTTCTTTTTGTGAACTTTATGTGTCTTTATGGTTTACTTTTGGGGCATGAAATGCTGGTTCCTCCAAGCTTCTGGGTCTCTCCTTTGATTTTATACTGGAGTGGCCAGATTGCATTTGTCTTCAAGAGTTCCCACAGAGGCTCAATTCAGATGAGGATCAGATGCTCTCAGGCTTTCGTGGTCAATATTTCTAGCTCTTCTTTGAATTCGTTCAGAAGTTTATCCCAATCTTCCTTCAGTTCTTTGATTTCTTTGCTTGTGTGTTCTTTAAATTCACTGAATTATTTTATCATGTTTATAATTTTTCTTTAGGGTTCCATGTCTCGCATGATCTCTAGAGGGTTCTCATTGTACTCCTCTAGAGGACTATTGGTATTTGGTGGATGCTGGTATAGGGCAGCTGGTGTCCGTGCTACCCAGAGATGCAAAGGCAGATGGGGTGGGAAGAGGCCCCAAGGACTCCTGGGGACTGCACTGAGGAGCTGGGTTGGACTGCATGCACAGGATCAGGAATAGGAAAGGTCAGCCCAGTGTCCCAGAAAGAGGCTAGTGGGAGGTACAGGCCCAGGGAAGCAGAGGGAGATGAGGGCGATAGGGCAGCTGGTGTCCGTGCTACCCAGAGATGCAAAGGCAGATGGGGTGGGAAGAGGCCCCAAGGACTCCTGGGGACTGCACTGAGGAGCTGGGTTGGACTGCATGCACAGGATCAGGAATAGGAAAGGTCAGCCCAGTGTCCCAGAAAGAGGCTAGTGGGAGGTACAGGCCCAGGGAAGCAGAGGGAGATGAGGGCGGGGCCAGGCCCAGCAGCAGTGCTCCTGGGGCCCAGAGAAGGCACTTTGTTGGTCTGGATGAAAAGGATCAGGAAGCAGTATTGGTTCCCCAGGTGTCTGGGGACCCAAGACCAGGAATGGGGCAGGACCCAAACTAGGAGGAGAGACTGGCTGGGGAGATGGGAGGGTGAATGAGGCTGGGGGAGTAAAGGGACAGAGGGTTCGATGGATTTACCCCAGAGAGAGGCCTGCAGGTAGGTGAGAGGCCTGCGGCAGGTGGTGTATTACAAGTTTAAAGATTTATTTATTTATTTATTTATTTATTTTGTGTGTGTGTGTGTGTGTGTGTGTGTGTGTGTGTGTATACATTGCATCCCCTGGAATTACATACAATACACTCATATACACACATGTACACACACACATGGACACACTATTTATTTATTTATTTATTTATTTATTCATTTATTTATATTTATATGTATGTACATGTATTTGTGTGAGTCTATACCATGGATGTGTTGGTGCCCAAGGAGACCAGAAGATGGCTTCAGATCCTCTGGAGCTGGAGGTACAGGTAGCTGTGAGCAGCCTGATGTGGGTGCTGGAAACTGAACTCAGATTCTCTTGAAGAGCAGTAAGTGCTCTTAACCTCTGAGTCATCTCTCTAGCTCTACAAGTAAACTTTAAATTTCACTTATTTATTAAAGTAAAGTATTTATTCAATGGCACTTGAGTGTCTGAAAAGTACTTCACACTCAGACTCCAGCGAGAGAAAATAGTTCACTACAAAGTGAATGATGTCCTCAGGGAGTTCACAGTTCACCAAGAATATTTTTTGACAAAACAAAAAATGAGAAGAGTCATATGCAATACACACATGGGGAACAGGCATCAAAATGACAGTATGTGACCCTTTTGCTTAACAAAAGAGATTTGGAGTTGTGTGTTTTTAAACAGTAAGTATGATGGATGAGATGAACCTGTATGGACAGGTGACTGTTGATTGTCTATGTGTTTTAACCGTGTCATATATCCAGCATGCACTGTTCCTTTGTCTAGTTTCTCTTCCTCAATTGGATTGGCGTTTTGGAAGTCAAGGGACTGCATCTTATACCTTTTTTGTTCCCTAGGCTTTGAATCATGGTTTTGCATCACAGGTGCTCAGCAGATGTTTGCTGATATTGAGAATTTGCCTTGCAAGATAATAATTGAATTCTGTAAGATCAGTGCATCTTATTTATTTATGTATTTTTCAATCAGTGTAAGGAAAGATATCCTGGTCCACAGGAATGGAGCAGTGAACATTGTGTTTCATTATCTGTAGTTGAGCCCAGGTTAAACTGCTGTAATAGGGACTCTTATCTTGAGATAACATTATCTCTCTCCCTTATAACAGTTTTGGGGAGTTTCTGACCTTGATCTTTGATGTCATCTGGGGACCCAAGATGGTGGAGCAGCTCTGCCATCATCCTTAGCACAGAGATTGCATCTCTAGGTTTGTGAGATTCATGTTGTTGGGTTTATCATTAGTCTGTATTTTTTTCTTTCTGCTGTTGAATATTTCTTTGCATGAGTATGTCCTAGTCATAGCCATGTTATTTTGATAACGCTAATAATAGAATTTGTAACAACTATGAGATGTTTTTGCATACTTAGTTTATTTTAGCATTTTATTTTATGAGTTTTATTGAGTACCCACAGAGGTCAAATACTGTGCTAAATGTACTTCCCTCAAATCACAGTTCACCTGGAGAAGAAAGATACTCAGGTTGTCCCTTTTGGATGGAAGCCAAATAATTATAAGCAACCACCCTAACTGCTTTGCTAATATAGCTGTAATCTTGTCAAAACTTGGAGGATTCAGATGCTTGTAAATAATCCTACAGTCAAGTCAGTTCTCTTATAGGAAATCTTCTGACCATCTTGTATCTCAAAACTTTGCCTCAGATGTCTGGCCTTTAAAAGCATGCTGGCCCCAGAGTCAGGCCCCACAGATTCTATTTCTGGTCCTGTTACTGGATTGCTATGTAGCCCTTGCTCACCATGCATGCACTTCCCACAAGGCAAGATCAAGAGTCTGAGGCGTCCCTTGGGAGAGTGATCTCCAGACCCCAATTGAGGTTGGGTCCCAGGAACCACAGGAACTGGCTGGACTCCTTACTGGAGCCTAAGCACCCTTCTCTACTGCCAAAGTCATTTACTCCAATGGGAAATTAGAATTCTGTTTTGTACATGGCTAACTCCTTGTCTTCGTCCTTCGCGTGAATCCAAAAACAACATCCCAAAATAGTTCGCATTTTCAAAGCCTTACAACTTTTTGTTGTACCGAGGCTTAAAAAAACATATTTATTTTATTTTTATTTTATGTGTACAAGTGTATTGCCTGCATGTATGTGAGTGCGCCCGTGTAGTGCAATGCTGCGGAGGTCAGAAGAGGGCTTCGGATTGCCCTGGAACTGGAGTTAAGTACGGTTTGTAGCTACCATGTGGGTGCTTGGAATCGAACCCGGGTCCTCTGCAAGAGCAATCAGTGCTCTTAACCGCTGAACCATCTCTCCAGCCCCTATTTTATTTTTTATTTTTATGTGTATGAGTGTATTGCCTGAATGTGTGTAAGTGCACCTGTATCGTGCAAAGATTGTGGAGGTCAGGCGAAGGCGACAAATCCCCTAGAACTGGAGTTATGGAGGGTTGTTAGCCACCTTATGGATCCTGGGAATCGAACCTGGGTCGTTTGCAAGACCAGTCGTTGTTCTTAACAGCTGAGCCATCTCTCTAGCCCCCTAGATTTTTTTGAGTATCACTCTTATTACACTGGGGAATTGGATGGGTGTGAAAGCGAAAGAATTAAGCGCAAGGGGCTCTGGGGCTTCCTGGGGTAGTGGTCAGGTAGATGAAATGTGTGGTGGGTGCACCTCTGGCACCCAGGAAAGGAGACTACAGCCCCTCGGCTCCTGGAGACTACGTTTCCCTGGAGCACTTGCGGCTCACAGGAGGGGCGGGGCGCCCACGCGCTCACAGCCTGCCCACTTACTCCGTTTTGGGAAGACAGAGTAATCTGATTGGAGGTCACCTGGCGGTGCATCCTGGGACTTGTAGTACAGCGCAGCTTAAGCACTCTCCTTCGTGGTTCTTCTTGCAGACTCGGAGCTTGCCGCGCACCCCCTCGAGTTCTGAGCTATTGGGCGACTGTGTCGCAAGGCAGTCCGGGTAGCGCGCGTGTGTCGCTCTCCAGGGACCGTCCGGCGCTTCCCGAAGGGCGGGGCGGTGGTTTCCGAGTCGACACCGCCTTCCTGCCCCGCCCCTCGCGCGCCTGGCCCGCCCCTCCTTCCTGGAGCGTCTGCCTCAGCTGAAGCGGCGCGGCTGCCGCGAGCCTGGCGGCCAGTGGCTGGAGCGACACGCGCGGGCCCCGACCCTATGCGGTGACTCGTGCGGCGCAGGCACCTCCTGCCCCGCCGGCGGGGCCCGGGCTTCCTGCAGCGGGATGTTCTCCCGTAGGAGCCACGGGGATGTGAGGAAGTCCACGCAGAAGGTGCTGGACCCCAAGAAAGACGTGCTGACCCGCCTGAAGCACCTGCGGGCGCTGCTGGGTGAGGCGCGCGGGGCGCTGGGCGCCGGCTGGGGGTCACCTGCTTGGGGAGGGCGCCGCTCCCAGGCCGAGCCTGAGATCAGGCGAGAGTGCCTGGCGGGGTCGCAGGCCGGGATGCTGCGGCGGGGCTGGGGTGATGGGCGCCAGACCTGTGCTAGCCCAGGTCGGGACCCTGGAGGCATTGTTCCGGAAGGCGGCAGCCTGGCCCTGGGCACTGCCCTGTCGCTCCGAGTGCAAACTTAGCCGAGATTCTCAGTGGGTGCCTAGCCTCGGGTAATCTCGAGGCCGGGCATAGAGGTGGCTGTCTCCTGTCCTCCCCAGGAAATAAATACACCAAACCCAACTGGCGCGCGCGTGTGCAAACACACACACACACACACACGCCCACGCAGGCACACGCAGTCTCCCCCTCCCATTTTTAAAATTAAAATTTTGATTCTTGACAACTTAGGTTAGACGAAGACCCCAAGTGGTCTCACTACAGAAGTTGAACTTGCCATCTGTCTCACCCTCTCCTTTTAAAATTTTAGAATGAGTACTCAAATAGGCTAATTACACGTGATCCCTTAGCCGTCATTTCTCTTCCCCTGCCCCGTTCTTCTTTAGATTTTATTTTTTGGTTGGAGAGGTGTCTGGCTGACAGTTTACTTGTGTCCTTGGTGTGAAGAGGGCTCTGCTTGTTGGGAGGAATGTGTGCTTTCTTGGGTTCAAGGAGGCTGCTTCTCCCATATTACCACGGCTGCATGCTTACTTCCCTTTTTGTGGCTTACTGGGTGGAGGTTATGAGCCCAGGTGGGCCTGGAATTGACTCTTGATGAGGGGTGAGGTGCCGTGTGCCCGTGTGTATACCCCCCCCCCCTCACGCGGGTGTGAAGTGTCTACAAGGTTTCCTGTTACTTGCTGCTGGCTAGGTTGCTGGTATTGCTTTATCTGTGTATCTCTCTATATCTATTTATGTATCTATGTATCTATTCTTAACTTTTAAAATGGAAACATCTTTGCCTGTCTATAGACAGACTTGTTTGTACTGGGGACCAAGGAAAGGACACCTTATGTTTCTTCGACATGCCTTTTACTGTTAAAACGTTAAAAAAAAAAAACAAAAAGCAAAAAACCTACCTAGTTTTAAAGCACTTGTCACTTGAGAAAATAGGGCCTAAAAGAATTTATTTTATAGGTAAAATATCTTGTTCATGAGATTGAAAGTTGCTAGTTCTCTTTATATTGTGTAAACTACCTGGGGGTGAGGGGTGGGTGGGAGTGGTGGTGAGGAACACCAAGCCAGTCAACAAGGCAACCAAAGAACCAACAAAAATCTGTAACTCAAAGCCACCACCTCCACCACCAAAAACAAACCCCCCCAAACCAGATTTTTCCTTACTATCTCGGAATCCTGGAGATTACACTTATTTGTTCAGTTCATAATGAAATGTAAATCAGCTGCTATTAGAGGGATTAGTTTCTAGACTTTTGAAAGCAGAATGTGGCATTCTTGGTAAATTGAACTTTCTACTTCCTGTAGTGAAATGCTTGGGCACACAGGTTGCTTTGTGTTGGATTCTTAGTAGTGATTGATTAACAACCTTCTGCAGGGGCATTTTTGATAAAGCAGAATTGAGCAGTATTTTAAGGCATTTGATACTTTGAGACTTTTTCTGTGCTAAAGAATTTAAACCTTTGTTCTGTCCAACTCTGCAAGATTAAGTTGGCTACATTTTAAAAAAACAGAAAACCTAGATCAGACTAGTTTCTTAGAGATACACTGTCCATTGTTACCATTTTGAGAGTGGATACTTTTCCAAGTCTGGGTAATTATAGTTTCTCCCTTAAAGTATGTGTTTTATTACAGCTGCAAGTGGCAGGGACCAGCTGGGAACCCAGGGTAGTGGCATCATCTTTTAAGATTTTAGTTTTAAAAATTATCTGCATATGTATGTGTCTGTATGTGCTCCTGAGTGCAGTGTCTGTGGAGGCCAGAGAGGGCTTTGGATCCCCTGGAGCTGTAGTTACAGGCCTTCCTGTGTGGGTGTTGGGGACCAACTCATGTCCTCTGTAAGAGCAGCCAGTGCTCTTAAGCACTGAACATCTCTCCAGCCTGCATCACTTTTATATGTGGAAAGAAAAAATAACAGCTTTATTATCACTTGAAGGTAAAATGCATATTTAAAGTGCTCTAACTTAGAGAACTTCTTTGATAATTGTTAGTACTTTTATTGTTGATGGGAACCATTGTTTGAGGATGATCGCCTCCTTTGTTTATTACTGAGACTGAGGACCCTTGCCCAGAATCCTGTGTAAGTTGGTGGTTAGAGGACAGTAGCCTGACAAGCAAAGGCTGAGGTAGTCTGGGGACCAGATCAGAGAGAATCCTGCCTGCCTGAGCTGGAAGCTCTCATCCTGAAGGTGACAAGTTTGTGTGGAGACTTTTTAGCAGGTCACTAGATAAGGCTTGAGAATTGCCCATCTTCCAGCAAGGCCATGAGAATGGGTTGGGAGGTGGGGGGGTTCCCCTGAGGGGGCTGTGGCAGTAATGGAACAGACAGACAAATGGAGTGTTTGATGTAAACACTGAGGTGAAGGCAGTGGAGGGTCAGTGTTATAGAGAGCAGAGCAGCAGGAACTAGAGATTCCTCAAGTGCAGAGGGTTGCCGGTGCTGGCTGAAGAGTGATTAATATGAAGAGATTTGGGATCAGAGACTAACACAGGCCAAGTCAGGGGCTAACACTTTGACCTCAGACTTATAATCAAGAGGGAAAACAGTGTCTCACAAATACTCTGTATACTGACAGAAAAAAACAAAACAAAACATTTCTTCTTGCTTTAAATAGGGACAAGTTCACTTACAGTTTTTGATGTTACTCTACTTTTATTGATTGTATTTTATTTGTGTGTGTGTGTGTGTGTGTGTGTGTTATACATACATTTGTGTGTGGGTATGTGTGCCTGTGCATGCACACATGACTCAGAGGAGGACATTAGGTGACCTGCTCTGTCACTATCTGTCTTATTCCCTTGAGTTTAAGACAGGGTTTCTCAGTGAATTTGGAGCTAGACTGGTAGCCAAGAAGCCTTAGGGATCTTCCTGTCTCCATCCTTCCAACCCCAGCCAACACTGGAATTTCAGGTTTGTGGGCGAGCACTCCCAGCTTTTTATGTGGGAGCTGGGGATTTGAACTTGGGTCCTCATACTTGTGTAGCAAGCACTTTTATCCACTGAGCCATCTCCCAGGCCCCTTACATTTATTTATTTATTTGCATTCTTCATGTTTTGTTCCTATCACTTTTTTTTGGTTGTCATTTGTCAACATTATATACTGATCCAGCTTACTAGTTCCTGGGTGGTTACCTTTTTTTTCTTTTCTTATGTCTCTTCTTTTGAAACAAGAGTCTCACTACATAGCCTGGGCTGGCCTCAAACTTTGCATCTTCCTTTCTTGCTGAGTTTTGGGATTACAGGTGTGTATGCTATCATGCTGTTTTTTCATTTCCCTTTTCCCTTCCCCTCTGTTTCCTCTTTCCCTCCCCTCCCCCTTCCTCTCCCCCTCTTCTCTCTGATAACAGTAACTTCTCTCTGCCCATCACTCACTTTGGTCAGATTGCTGGGCTTGAGTGTGCTTATGGTTTGATTTCACAGTACTTTCCTAAGTGTTGCTCCATCACTTCTGCCACCAGCAGGGCTGAGACTCCCCTTTTACTTTAGTCTGACTAGCAACAGACACCTTTTGATAATTTGATAATTGGCAGTGGTCATTTGGGATAATGGGAGTGTCGTGGGCAAAGCTAGAGAGGTGGGAGGGGATCCTGGCTAATGATGGAGGATGATGGGCTTGGTATACTACAGGTTATGTGTGAGAAAAGGGAGATCCAAGTGGAATGCCTGGAAGGAGGTTGTGATACATGGGGCCTGGACCTTAATGAGAGGATAGAAAGCTAGGTTAATGCTATTATTATGATGATTTCATTGACTCTTTCCATAACTGCAATGAAGGTAGTGTTTCAGCCCTCAATCCACAGAAGAGGTGCAGTTAACTAATTGTCTACCAATTCCCAGCCTACAACTAGAACTGCTATTCATGTTTGTAAAGCTGACCAGCCTGGTTATATAGGCCTTTAATCTCAGCTACTCAGGAGGCTAGGGCAGAATTGAAAGTTCACAGTCTGTCTGGGCTACAAGGTGAGTTCAAGGCCAGCCTGAACAACTTAGATGCTTTAAAAATAAATAAGTAAATAAAATAAAAAGCTAATGCTATGCTTCTGCTATCCAATTCAGAAGGATATATTTACACATCAGAAAAGGTGTTTACCCACTAGTGTGAATGTTAACATAAAAACAAAACTCTAGCAGTTTTTGCCTGTCTGGCAAAAATGTTGCTATGGCATTTGTAGCTCGGTCTCTTTCTGGTCTGTTTCAGGGGGACTTGGGGAGATCCTGTATGACTTGAGCCCTTCTCTGTCTTATCCTTTGTTCATCTCTCTGTGCCTAAGTGAGATTTTGCATAGACATTAACTCTCTCCCAGAAAAAAGCTGGGGGGGGGTATAATTTTAGTTTCTGCAGTTCTGTTTTGATTTCTGTTAGTTGACCAATTTAAAGCAAAGTGATTTTGTCATAATGTTCCCATTGCTAAGTTTTCATCAGTCACTGATATTTTATATCTGTAACCTCTGGAATGTAAAATGAGCTTTGGACCCTTAGGTGACCCTTGCTTCTAAGACTTGAGGTTGTCTAGAGTGAGAAAGGTCAGCCCAGGGTCAGATCATGATGACTGGAAAGGATTGATTGCCTTCCAATTTTCATTCCAAGAAAGATTACTGATAGACTCAGAATATTTTCACATAAATATTTACAATCTGGATTTTTTTTTTTTGTAAGAAATTTACTCCTGGGAAAGTATAAGTGCGTCTCTGAGGTGTTTACAGTACTGATCTTTGGTCTCCAAACAGAGTCTAGTATGTGCAACTGTAGAGAATTGTGTATTTTTTTTTAAAAAGTTGATTTTAA